GCCCCTTGCCTGGCGCCAGCTGGCCACTGGTCCCTGGGTAAGAGCTCATCAACACTGGATTATGTGCACATGCAGGGGCTTAGATCTGCTGGGAGGAGCCCCCGGCTGCCTGCCTCCCTAGTGCTCTGTCCCCTACCCCCAGTAGTCTGTTCGGAGGGGCTGAGTGCTCCAGTCAACAACTCCATTGTTACCCGCATTCTGGGTGGGCCTGGCTGGACCTGCCAGCTCGGTTCCTTCCCTACCAGCCGCAGGAGACTGAGTCAAGGGGTTCCCACCCCCTCACTTCCCCCAGCTCCTGGCTTAGCGTTAAGTAAGATTCTTTGTCAGGGTGTAGCTCAGCAGCAGGAGCGCTCAGGGTCTCAGTGCAGCCTTGTGTATTTGAAAGGGACCCAGAACGATCCCCCCAGGCTCCTCATCCATCAGGGAACTCACTTTACATCCCATCTGTTATTGTAATGTTGTCTGAATGAGACATCAAACTCGCTGCCTGCTCCTCACAGGCGCTGACAACACACCAGCATGTCTTCTGCATCCCATTAAAGCTCTGCATGCGCTCGGACAAGCCCCTCGCACTGTAGCCCCCGCACCTGCTCTGTGGCCTGCTCCACGGCCTCCTCCAAGCTACCTTCTGGTGTCAATGGCCCTCGGAAGTGTGGGTTCACTTTGCTCACTGGGCTCTGTCCGGGCTGGTATGATAATGAACTGACCTCCCTATTACACACCTTGGACGCATGCCGCTTGTGTGGACACAGAGATCCTGCGGTCTGGGGTTCCCTGCTTTCCGAGAACCCCATTCCAGCATGCACCTCCTCCCCCGTAAGGAAGGGGAAGGGAGGGTCGCTCTCCCCCCACCCCCCTTTAAAGCGTGAATCATAGAAAGTAGGGCTGGAATGAACCTCAAGTGGTCATCTAGTCCAGCCTACTGCACTGAGGCAGGACTAAGTAAACCTTGGCCATCCCGACAGGGATAGGCTCCCTGGAAGCCTATTCCAGAGCTTAACTACCCTTAGAGTTAGACCGTTTCCCCCAATATCTAACATAAATCTCCCTGGCTGCAGATTAAGCTTCTTCTTGTCTTGCCCTCAGTGAACACAGAACAATTGATCACAGTCCTCTGTATAACAGCCCTTGACATATGTGAAGACTGTTATCAGGTCCCCCCTTCAGTCTGCTTTTCTCAGGACTAAGCATGCCCAGTTTTTTTAACCTTTCCTCACAGGTCAGGTTCTCTAAACCTTTGATCATTTTTGTTGCTCTCCTCTGGACTCTCCAATTTAGCCACACCTTTCTTCAAGTGTGGTGCCTGGAAGGACTCCAGCTGAGGCCTCACCAGGGCCGAGTAGAGTGGGACAATCGCCTCCCGTGTCTTATATACAACACTCCAGTTAATTCACCCCAGAATGAAATTAGCCTTTTTCACCCCTCCCAACTTGGTGTCATCTGCAGCTTTTATACACGTACTCTCCACTTCATTATCCAAGTCATTAATGAAAATATGGAACAGTACTGGACCCAGGACAGACTCCTGTCGCCCCCACTAGATACCCCTCCCAGTGACAGTGAACCACTGATAACTATTCTGAGTATGGTTTTCCAACCTCCATTGTCCACCCCCCTGACAGTCATTTCATCTAGACCACATTTCCCTAGTTGGCTCCTGGGGATGTCATGGGGGACAGTCGGGGTGGCAGGCCCTCTCTGCCCCTTTCCAGCTGGCAAAACCCTTCTGATCACAACCTGCCCCAGTTAGGAGAGGCGTCTTGACCCACACACTCCGAGCTAAACCCGCTCTTGACCTCTTCCCCATGCCAATGGGAAGTCTCCCCGATTCACCCAGCTGCCAAACCCTCCTGTCCCCAGATGCATTTTGGGGCATATGAGAGTTGGCCGGGGGCTCTGCAGTTCTCTTTGTATAGCATCCCCCAGCCTGTAGGGTGGCAGGTGGGTGGAAGAAGGGGGCACAGAGCCCTCTCAGCAGGGAGGTGAGCCACTCCCCAGCCCTTAGCACTAACGTGAAGCTCTTTCCCTCCCATGCGGCTCAGATCAAGGCTGGAGGGTTTGAGTTCTCCCCGGGGACGCTGCAGATCTACTCAGACAGCCTCCTGACGCTGCCTGCTATCATCGGGATCGGCGGCGGAGGCGGCCTCCTCCTGCTCATCATCATCATCGTCCTCATCGCCTACAAGCGCAAGTCCCGGGACGCCGACCGCACCCTGAAACGCCTGCAGCTGCAGATGGACAACCTGGAGTCCCGCGTGGCCTTGGAGTGCAAAGAGGGTGAGTCAGTCTCTGCTTCTCTCCCCACGGCTTCCCAGCTTCAGCCTGTCCCCACCCGTCAGCCCCTTCACCTGCTTTGCCAGCTCTGCCCCCTCTGGGTCGTTGGTTTCCCCTCTTGTGTTTGCTCCAAGACTCTCTGTTCACACCCTACCGTTTGTTGAAGGAGGTAGCGGTACCATGGACATCCATGATCCCTCAGCCAGAATCCCCAGGTCAGATGTTCAGGGTATTGATGTTCACATGCAGGCAGGCAGGCTCATTTCTATAGAGACTCCCTTGAAAGCCCCCATCCTCTGCAGCGTTGTCAGGTCCTTTCCCTGGTTGCCTCTGCATTCCCATAGGGTGCTGCGTGTGCATTTGCAGGTCCCTATCCTGAGTGCCACAACTTGTTCTAGCTCTTGATGTGTCCGTTAACAGCGTCTGGTCCCAGCGTGGGACAAGGAACCCCCCTGTATATGACACAGGGGTGCTGCATGGTCTCACCACAGTGACAGCACAGTATGTTGCAATGCACCATCCTGGTCTTATGGCACAAGGGTCTTTGCTGGACAGGTGTTTCCTACTTGCTCCCTTCTCTTTCATATCCCCAGTCTCCTGCTCTGCAAACACCATGTCTGCTTGCAAAGCTTCATGCTCACCTACGGCATGTGCTAACTCACTACACACAGAGCAGCCTTTTAAATCTGCCCTCTCGTCCCAGTGCTGTGGGCCTCGAGCTCCTGATCTACAGGGACCTTCCCCTGCTCTAAGCCACTCTTGGGACCGGCAATCCGAGCAGGCAAAGTGACTTTGTTGGGGGGAGGGGGGGAACTTAACTTATTTTTAGTAGGATTTATTTTTTCGGTTACGGATTTTATGTTTTTAAAGTCTAAAACAGGACAAAAGAGGGTAGAGAAACCTGCCTGAAAAGGGCCTTGAGTCTCTCATTATGTGACAGAGGGATGCTGCGAAATTGGACAGAATGCCTCTTATGATCCTGCCGATAAAACCTAATTGCCCATTATCGCCGCAAGCCAGTGCCTGGGGCCGTGACCCTGCCAACTGCAGCCAGCCCAGAGGCTGGGGGAGAAGCGGGCACCTAAAACGAGATAATAAAAAAGAAAAAACCCCTAAAAATCCATGTAGATGGCAATAGTGACAGAGAGAGGGGAGGGTGGAGGGGATCTCGTCTCCTCTTCCACAGCTGGCAGATAAAAGGATCTGCTTTTAATTAAAAGGCGCAATCTCTTCCCTGCCTTTTCTCTTTTCTAGTCCCTCTAGTTACAGATAAGATAGCGAGCCTTTCAAGCTGACGTTTGTTTTTTCTCATCAGGCTGACAAGCCTGCAACCCTCTGCCTAGCTTCCAGCTCCCTTTAAAGTGCTGTTAATTTGATTTCTCTGTTTTTTTTCTCTTTCCCTTATACAGTGCTAGAGATTCTCCCCCCACACACCCCCCCAAAGCCTTCCCCCATGGGTACCATTAAAGGCGCAGGACACCATTTCCCCCCCTCCGTCTAGCACGAGCTCAGGCTGTGCCTGTTCTTACCCCAGAGTGCTGGGTTTGTGTTGGGCTTTTCTCTCTAACATTATTTAGGTCAGAATGAAACGAGAATATTCTTGTGGTTTAAACCTCTCTCTCGCCCAGCATCTCTGCCCTGTCATTCACAGCCGCCTACAGGTTTCTTACATATGTGCACATAGAAAGGGGGTTAGAACCGAGAGGCTGAGGCTTCAGGACTCCTGGGTTCTATTCCCGGCTCTGCCACTGATTTGCTGTGTGACCCCGGGGAAGTCATGTCCCCTCTCTGTGCTTCTGCTTTGCCCTGTGTAAAATGGAGATAAGGGTACTGCCCCTCTTGACAGGGTGGTATGAGACTGAGATAACTGATGTCTGTAAATTACCTTGAGCCCTCTGATTACCGGTGCTAGGGACAAACGGCAGCCCCCACTATTCTAGATCTGTGGAGCTCTTATCATCTTTTGCTGGCACCAGTGTGGTAGCTCTAGGGCCCAGCCTGACCTCCCCTATTGACCTCCTGCAGGCCCATAGTCCCCTAACACAACTCTGCTCTTTCCATCCCAGCCTTTGCCGAACTGCAGACAGACATCCACGAGCTGACGAACGACTTAGACGGGGCTGGCATTCCCTTCCTGGACTATCGCACCTATGCCATGAGGGTCCTCTTCCCCGGGATAGAAGACCATCCTGTGCTGAAGGAGATGGAGGTGTGGTAATGTGTGTATGTGTGTCTGTCTGTCTCTCCGATGCTTCACCCTGGGGACACCTGCCTCTGGGAGCTGCGCTTCATGCCCATCTGCTGCAGGGTTCACCATTGCCCCTTCTTCCTTTATTTTTAGTGCGGAAGTCTTGGAAGTTTCAGTGAATGATGGGAACTCACGGGTCTGGGCTCAGCAATGGATGGGGAGAGATTACTGACTCAGGAGTGACTCTGTCCACCCATCCAAGGAGATTGCAACATGCTGCAGTGGGCAGAGACTCTATTCTGGCAAAAGTCCATTTTCTTTACAGAGCACGGAGGAGCATCCTGTCCATGCAGTGTCCTCTGCCTGAGCTCTTGGGGTCTGGATTTGTAACATCTGGGTTTTCCAGCCGGGAGCGACTGAGGAGATTGCACGTGCAATGTTCTGAAACCTCCCTCTTGGTCCTCCAAGACCCCCCTAGTAAAGCTGGGTGACACTGGGGTTTCCTCCCTTGGATAGAGAGGTTTACTCTGCTACGGTGCCCTGTGACTCCTTAACCCAGGGATGAGAGCTTACAGGACTGCAGTGCAGCATAGCAGAGGAACCCAATGCAATCTTGGGCTATGTATTTTTTAACACAGTGTATCATTAACCTGCAGAGCTCATTGACACAGATGTCACTGAGGCCAAGAATTAACAGGGTTCAAAGTAGGATTAGCTATTTCTACGGATAATGAGAAGATCCACAGGTATGTTAGAGAGGAACAAAATGTCTTTATAAGGGATATAAACCCCCAGGCTTCAGGGCAATTAGCTAGGTGCTAAGGGCCAGATTTCAAAAGCACTCAGCCCCCACTGAGAACAGATGGAGTGTAGTGTTAAGTGACAAGAGTTAAAAAGGAACTTCCTCTGTAGTCAGGTTATTCCAAAAATGTCCATGATAGTGTTTCTTCACCTTGTTCTAAAGCGTCTGGTACTAGCTTTTGTTGGAGGTGGGCCACCAGTCTGATCCAGTCAGGCAATTCTTATGTTCCTGTCTCATCCCAGAGGAGCCGGTCCCTGTCTGTGCAGCTCAGGGGAGGTAGTGCCTGGGTCCGTCAGTACAGTTCTCGGTACCTTGGTACCAGAAAGATGTTGACAAATTGGAGGGAATTCAGGGAAGAGCAACAGAAAGGGGAAAGTTTGGAAGAGTTAATTCTGCATAGCGAGGCTGAATGGCGAGAGGAGGAGGGAGGGTGGACCCATCTAGAGACACGTGAAGGGGCAAACCCCAAGGAAGCAGAGAAGCTGTCTGGGGCGGTTTGGGGGAGGGAGTATGATGAGGAGTAATGGGATGACGTTGAGTAAGAAAAGCACAGGAGTGTTTTTCTGATCGCTAGATCTGCTGGGCTGTGAAATAGTCTCCTGAGGGAAGTGGCAGAAGTCCCCTGGCTTGGCACACTGGAAGCTCTGAGTGCACAAAGCACTAGGAAATACACAGTAGAGAAGCATCCAGTGCTGGTCTCAGGGAGTGGGGCTGGTGCTGCTGACTAGGCCTGGCTCATCTCTCTTGCTGGTGATTCCGAGATTCTAACCCTTGTGCTGCCGGTATCGTTCTGCCTTGCAGTGGGAAGGTCATTGCAGCCATAGAGCGATAATACATTTCACCAGCCAGCTTCTCCCAGGCATTGAAGCATGGGCTCAACCTGTTCCCGTCCTTCTGGGGGACCACAGATCACCCAACCAGCAGCTGCCTCCATCACTGTTGTCCCCATCTTATCCCTCACCTTGTCTCCAGGAGGGTGACCTGGCAACCTCGCTATAGCACTCCTAGGGCCGTGTGCTTGCCACCCGCTTCCCCTCTGGGAAGTGTTGCGCTTTCACTGCCACCTGGGGAGAGGGTTGCTCTGCCTTGCCACAGACCCGCTGCCACCTTCCACACCCTCCTTTATTCCTCTGCGGCTGCACTGACCAAGTTTCACCCAGCTAGGCCTACGCTGTCAGCTGGGCAAGAGCCTGGGCCCACCTCATCTGCATTAGGTGGAGCAGACCACATCTGCCCTTCCTTTTAACTGGGACCTGGAGCCCCTGGAGACCACCAGCACGACCAAGGCAGCTCTCTGCATATCTGCGGGGGCTTCACTTCCTTGTCTAAGACCAGCATGGCTGCATTTATGCTGCCCCTTCTCCACAGCTCCTGAGCATATGGTCTTGGACACCAGCCTGTCTCTCCGTGATGCATCTTGCCACGTGCCGGTCAACGTGAGCACAGGGAGGCCACTGCATGGCTACCACACTCACTGACATTAATATCAATATTCGTATTAATATCATTGCCGCTGTCATTTTCTACTGCACTTGATTTATTCAATTGGGTTTGTTTGATGCATGACCGGCTGCTCATTTCCAGCAGACTTGTCCGACATCATCCACCTTCCCAGCTCCATGGCTCCTCCCTGCAGAAGAGCATCTTGTCCCTTCTCCCCCTGCTCCCCAAACCATCTCCCCCTTCCCTCCCAGCCTCACAATGTCTGCTTAATTTAGTGCATGCAAGTGCACATAAATTGGCTTCTGGTTTTTCTCAGTATCAAGGTTGCTCTTGATTGGAGTGGTGCGGGGTGACCTTAGCTTCCCCTCGCTGCTGACCGGACACAGTAATTAATGTTGACGTAGACTTCAGAACATGTTTAGGAGAAGTAATCGGCCCTGGTGCAGGATGCAGTTATTAATTGCAGGGAATCAACCCCTTACAACTGCAAATGCATTCATTGTAACCCAGACGGCTGCTGCTACTGTGATCTGGCTCTCTCAGTGGGGTGGGTTGTAGTTCTATCTCCCGTGCTCCCTTTAGTCCCTACACCCAACGTTGGGGGGTGGGGGGGTGGCACTTATCCTGGCTTTCACCACAGAGTCACAGTGTTCATGGATCTACCTTCCCCCAGGCTTGCAGGAGGCTCAGACAGTCCTGGCCTGGCCGTGGGGCACTGTACTGTTACCACACAGCACAAAGGGTCATTCCCCCCTGTGCTTCACCGCACAAAATGAAAAGGTCAGCGAGACCCTGACCCTCTCTCGTTTTCCATTGTAACCAGGGCTTTACTCAGCTTGGGCCTTCGGTGGGGAGGGGCTAATTCTTGGCAAATAAACCTGCTACGAAGAGCTATGAGGGGGCTTCATCTTCATAACTATCTTGCTGCCTCTGCTGGCTCTCCATTCCCAAGCTCACCGGGCCCATTCCATTGTCCCCTTCTGCCCCCCTGGATCTGACACAGGAATGAATGTTCCCCCAACCCAGACACCCCTGGAGATGACAGGTGACAGTCATGTGAGAGAGGGGAGTGAGTCCCCCTCACAGGCAGGATGGGTTAGGGGATAGGAGCCTGCAGCTTGGACTTGGGACACCTGGGTGCAGTGCCTGGCTGATGGAAGGGTGTGATGAGGATAAAATGAAGGTGGGCGCTCAGAGGCTATGGTACTAGGTAGATGAATGAACTCCTGTGTGTTGGGTGTGAGCTAATGGGCAGGGCAGACCCTTTACTGGTAGAGTCTTCCCGTGGTGTTGCCAGCCTTAGCTAGCGACGGGAGCCACACGTGGGCTGGCTGAGTAACTCTGGGGCGCATGGTGGGAACCCTGGGCTCTGCCCCTCGCTATTTGCCCCTTGCAGAGGAGAAGTATTATTTATCAATTCAGGTTAAATAGAAAAACCCTTGTCTGGCTCCCCAGCCATAGACAGTGCTGCCCTTCCCTCTGTGCATGAGAGAGAGGTGTGGGGAGGACAGTGTGGGGACAGAGCAGGGCAGGAGGAGCTGGGGAGATTTGGAGAAGATGGATTTTCTTCACAAGGACCTGTACGCATAGCCGCGGGGTTAACGCAGCGACAGCTCTCGGGCTGATGCCCAGTGGGGTGTATAAGACACACATGGGTGTATAGCGTAGAGGTACTGCCGGACAAAGGTCTCTTTGTTTCTGTTATAAATGAAGTATTTTCAGGGGGGTCATAAGCTGCATGTGAAAATTGCCCTACCCAGTGGCGCTCCTGACTGCGCAGCATGACAGCGCGGTTCTAGGCTCCGCCCTCTCGCGCTGTTTCAAGCTCAGCCCCTGAAGGGTAAGGAGGGGAGGTGTCTGAAGTCCCATTGCTCAGCCGTGATGCCCCAGTTGTGACAGAGCCAAGCCAGTGAGAATGCAGCTGATGTTTCTGTTCTACTGTCAGCGCTACCTGCTAGCCTCCCGCTTTCCTGTCTGTTTAGGGAGCCCCAGTGAACTTAGCTCACTGGGAAAAGCTTCCAAACTAGAGCTGGGCCTAGGAGGTGAGGCTTGGGTCTGGATCTGGATTTAGGCTTAGGCTGGGGTTTGGATCTGACAGTTCCAAATTCCCCTGAGATGTTGGCTCCGTACAATTGGATGTCAGGTCGGCTGCTGTTGGGAGATTTTTGCCAGCTTAAAATGTTCTCACAGCGCTGGAACCAGAAAACAGGCCCCTTCTGGGTTTGGATCCAAACTGTGAGGGCAAATTGAGATGCAAGGATTTGAATCCACCTCCTCCCCCTACCTAGAATTCCTAGAGTGTGTTCCAGCCCATCTCAGCCTCACTTTTGGCAGTTGGTTTGTGGTGACCACACTCGGTCTGCTATCACTTCCTCACTTAGCCTGGGAGGGGGTGGTCAGAAGTTAAAGAGCCAAGTTGGGTGGCTGGGGATAGAACTTACTGCTAGGAGAGAAGGGATGAAATTGAATCAATGACAATTTAGGCGGAATATCAGGAAACCTTTCCCAACGAGGAGACCTGCTAGACAGTGGAATCCTTTCCAAAGGGAAGGGATGGAAACCTCATTGAAATCTAGACATGACAAAGCCCCAGAGAAGTAACTGCAGGGGATAATTCTGCACTGGTCTTTTCCAGCTCCAATTTCTGTGATTTTAAACATACTGCACTCCGAATGCAAGAGAGAGCATGTGGGCTTGGTTGGGAAGTGAAGTGTTAAAAGTTTCAAGGGAGAAAAAGAACCCAGATTAAATAAAGCAAATACAGTTGTGTAAGCTT